GTACTATTCAGCTATAAGAAACAATGGTGATATAGCACCTCTTGTATTTTCCTGGATAGAGCTGGAACGCATTCTACTAAGTGAAGTATCCCAAGAACGGAAAAATAAGCACCACATGTACTCACCAGCAAATTGGTTTCATTGATCAACACCTAAGTGCACATATAAGAATAACATTTATCTGGTGTCCGGCAGATGGGAGGGGGGAGGAGGGAATGGGTACACACAGACATAATGAGTGCAACGCACACCATCCGGGGGATGGACACGCTTGAAGCTCTGACTTGGGGGGAGGGGGCCAAGGGCAAGGTAACCTAAACATTTGTACCCCCATAATATGCAGAAATAGAGCAGATTCTACCTTCAGTGAATGTAAGGATCATAGTAATGATATCACTCTAAAATAGAGAAGAACTGAAAATTATATAAGACAAGAAGAGTAAAAAAGGATGAGATCCCTCCCAAATCTGAATCTAATATTGTGACTAACCAGTCGTGTAACTCTGTTCTGGCAACTATCACAATAAGAGTTCTGTCCATTCTGAAGGTACACTAAAGGGCCACAAACCCACTCAGGCTTCAGTGACAATCTAGAGGCCCCTGTGCACCCAATCCCCAGTATCAAGAAGCCGACAGCTCCAACTTAGTTTCCTAATTGTACCCTCTGTCCTCAAGCATCCAGTTTATCAGGAGTTAAACCTCTGATCCAAGTGCTCCTCCCAAATAAAAGAATGAAAAAGAAATCTTCTCTGATTAAGGAAATTGCAGGTTTTGAAGTATGTTGATGTTCAAAAAGGATATTGTGATATAATACAGTTCCTTAACATTTTCATATAAATATTCCTAAATTATTCTGTGATTACTTTCTTTGAAAATTAAGAGACAATGATGAGGTTTATTGAAATGTCCCCTAATTTCCTTTTTCTCATTTTCCATCAATGACATCACAAACACATGTCTCTAAACAACACATCAGCTTAACTCATGAGAAATCCTTGCACACAGTCATGGCAATCCAAAGCTGTACTTCCTCATTTGAGATAAGCTTCAACTTTCTCAAGTTCGTATCAAACTAATGGTAAAGAATTTATCTGGCAAATTGAAAATTATTCTTTCTGTTTTTATTTTCACAGATCTTTATAATCTTTTTTGTAAAGCAAAATAGATGTGGAAAATACTAAAGCTTCCAAAATGCTCCTGGATTTCTCCCTACTGTATAATACACATGCTACTACAAAGTAGGAGTAATATTCCCATCTAATAACTATTTTAGAAATACAAAATAAATTTGAATTCTTATTACAAAGAATATTACACTGATTGATATATGAAAAACCGTTCAGTGAAATCTGTAATTGGGCTTAAAGGACTCTCGATATTTGAAAACTGACCTCGAAATTGAAGGGAATGGAATACACAAGGCTGATGAAAAGCTGATCTCTTGGAAGCAAACCACATTACATAACATTTATTCTCTTACTTCTAGAGGTTCAGGGATTCAAAATGGGATTGGGGGAGGGAGGTTGTGCCGCCAGTCTCCTGCAGCGTCTGTTTCGTCCTTACAGGCTCTCTGAGCCCGGACCCGCGCGTGTGCCCCGCGAGTCATGACGTTGAAGGCTGTGTGTGTGTTGAAGGGCGACGGCCTGGTGCAGGGCACCATCCACTTCGAGCAGCAGGAAAATGGACCAGTGGTGATAAAGGGACGCATTACAGGATTGACTGAAGGCCAGCACGGATTCCATGTGCATCAGTTTGGAGATAACACACAAGGCTGTACCAGTGCAGGTCCTCACTTTAATCCTCACTCCGAAAAACATGGTGGGCCAAAGGATCAAGAGAGGCACATTGGAGACCTGGGCAATGTGACTGCTGGCAAAGATGGTGAGGCCATTGTGCCTATTGAAGATTCTGTGATCTCGCTCTCAGGGGAACATTCCATCATTGGCCGCACAATAGTGGTCCATGAAAAACCAGATGACTTGGGCAAAGGTGGAAATGAAGAAAGTACAAAGACGGGAAATGCTGGAAGTCGGTTGGCTTGTGCTGTAATTGGGATTGCCCAATAAACATTCCCAAGGATGTGGTCTGAGTCCTAGTAACTCATCTGTTATCCTGCTAGTTGTAGACTGTAACTTGATAAACATTAAACACCGTAATCTTAAAAGTGTAAAAAAAAAAACAAAACGGGATTAGGCACAGGACCTGGCCTCAACGAGCTCACAGTATAATATGTAAAGTAAGAACAATAATTATAAATGTTATGATAAATTACTAGGCATTGTTCAAACTGCCATAGTTCCCTAAACAGTCTCTTTACCAATCAGTGGCTTCTACTATCAGTTTCCTATAAGGCTCCTCCCATTAAGGAGAGTTGCCTGGGAGAATATTGCCTCTGGGATGCTCAGTCAGCCTTGCCTATTCCCTGTTTCCAAACCTTCTCCTCAACACATTTCTCTCTTCACTTTCTCCTTGGTCTCAACACTTTGGATTGTTTCCACCTATTTGAGCTCATCCTTGCCTAAGACTTAGATCTGATGTGGAATGACTTTAAATGCAAATTCTTAGGCCTCCCTGGGCCTGTCTTCAGAAACTCTGGAGGGGTAGGGGGCTCAGCAATCTTTATTTAACAATTAA